GTAGTGTACAGCATCGATTTCTGTGGAACCCAGTAGCTGTCAAAACTTTCACATTTTTACGAATAACTCGGAAATCGTAAATTTTTCAGGTAAAACGGTTGAAACAAACATAAATTAAAATTGAACGGCCAATCTGAAAATAACAAAAAAAATGGGGGGTTTCATTTAAAAAACCAGAGTTGGTAACTACCACACGTTTATGATGCACCCTGTATATTGGAAAGTAATTTTAGAATGTGGACCTTTTAAACGTGAAAAACTTTCGTTGGACGAATTTTCTTGTAAACTTCATATTTACTGAGATATCGCACTTTGACGCACTAATGAGCAACCCTGTATATCCTTTACCTATTCTTACGCTTTGTTGCCAATGATGACAGCAAATGCCCAAAGAGGTACAAGGCTCTGAGGTTACAGAGCAACCCCTTTTTTCCTCTTCAAGAAACTTGAATAAACAAGTTCAAAATAATTTTATTCATAAACCTGCGTCGGTCGAGGGTATTCCCAAGTATTTCTATCGTATTTTCAGGAATTTAGTTGGGGAATTAGGTCCTTATTGAACAAGTGGTTCCGGAAAAAAAAAATAAAAAGGCCCAGACCTAAAAAGCCCCCTGGCCGGTTTTTTTTAAGTCCTCCAACAAGACAACCGGAAAGAACTTCACTTCACGAAAAAGAGCTGGGGCTTATGACCCTCTGGCCAAATTATTGTTAATCATAGACTTAAATTCCGTCATGAATCCTACCGATAAACGAATTCACCGCTCTGGTGGGGACGATCAAGTGCCACAGGACACAGATGTGGTGAAACAAAGTTCGTCCACAAACTCTAACGATAATTTTACGGCATACATGGACTACAGTGCGGCCAAATCTCCCGCGTCATCCTCTATCGGCGAATGTTTTAGTTTTCCGGAATCTCCCCAACGCAACAAGACATTAACAATGACCAAGAACGACAATCAGAAAATACAAGTCATGCAACGTAAGATGGAGAGATCAATACTGAGAATAACCCTTCGAGATAGAATCCCAAATAGAACCATCCGACAGAACACAGGAGTAAGAGATGCTGTCGAGACCATTCTGCGTATGAAGTGGAACTGAGCGGGTCATGTTGTCAAAGTAAAGATGGTCGACGGACAAAAAAAAATTACAATGGAGACCAAGAGTGGAAGCATACAGAAACAGAGAATGCCCAAGAGCCCGGTGGAGTGACGACATAAGGAGACTCGCTGGCAATTGGATGCGGATGGCACAGTACCGGAAAGAATGGCAAAATTTGAGAGAAGCTTTTGTCCGGTAGTGGACAGTATAGGCTGATGATGATGATAAAATAAATATAAGAAAAAAATATTACAAGGGCAGTCGCTATTTAAGTCGTCAAAAGGTGTTCGGTAATAGAGGAATCTTCTTCGTCAGATGATAATGACAAATTATCAGTCAACGGTTCGAGCGATGAGGAAAGTTTCGGTGAAATTGATTGTGCCAGAAAATGGAAACTGGATGAATGTCAAAGATGGTTTCATGGTACTACATGCAGCATGAAAATTATTGCATATTATGCGGAATAAAAGCGCTAAGTAAAATTTATGTGGATGATCGTTTCATTTTCAATGCATAGTTTTTTTTCTTAAGGCGTTTCCATAAGCAATCTCGACCTACTGCAATGCGTCATCACACCCACATGGTGGGGTGAGATTGTCACATGTATTAGTTTTCTATTTGATTTTGTTACAATCCTGTATTTGGTAACTTTTGAAATTATTACAAACTTAATGTTTCAATAATTTTTTGTTTTTATTTACTACTAACTAATAATTTTTCATCAAATTAATATTCAAAAAATAGTGCGTCGTCTATCCCGACTTTACCCTGCCCATTTCCCCGGGAACTATTTTGTGATTCTTGGGAACTGAAGCTGTAGCTGGTCTTTGCTAAATGGTTTAAAGCGCAAAAGAAGAACTAATAGCTTATTGAATCCTAATAATGTTATTAGGATTGAATTGATTTGATTGGATGACTAATTATTGAATGAACGATAATTAAATATCTAAACAAATGAATTTAACATACCTAGTAATTTTATTTTAATATCGCTATAAACTTCCGAGTCATGCAAATTGGAGATAGTATTAACCAATCTTGAAGCGAAGGAGTTGGTAATGTCACTATCTGTAGCGTCACCATTTGTTGCTGCTATGTAGGTATAACGACTTTCTAAATCTCTGTATTTGGTTTGCAGGGTCGCGTATTCCTGCTTCAATAGCGAAAGGTGTTGTTGCAGCTTGATCACTTCAGAGTTAGCTAAAAATAAAAGCAAAATTAACATAGCTATCACTGTAAATTTCATGTCCTAAACATCCAATCGAATTAGTAATAAATAAGCACGTTGTAATACAGGGTTATTCAGGTTATACCATACGGAACATTACACGGTCAACTTCAATTAAAAATTAGATTCTTCAAATCTAGAGATATACTCTATTCTAGTATAAGTCACATAAGTAGCATTCGGGCCGCCAAAAAGGTCAAAAGCTAATCTTTTGTTTTTTTAATGAAACACCCTGTAAAGTAAGCTTACGCTTAACCGATGTTATTTGTTTCAAAATACTCATCGTCATATTTTAAAGGTACTCAACGCGCATATTCGGAGCTCAGGTTTACAAAAAAGTATTGATTTAAAAGCGTAAACTGCGTAAAACTAAAGTTGCTGAAATTCGGCTTTTGGAGTTAACCTGCCAACATTTTCCAAGTAATGTATACCTTCGGAACTCTGTTATTTAATTATCATTCCAGTGGTGCAGAAATAAGCGTGTTAGCTCAATTGGCTTCTGAGATATGAACAAAAAGGAGGCATCATGTCTGAAACGATGGCACGATTTTACAAAAGCCGCGTATAACTGAAAACTATGTCAACATTTCGGTTTGTGCCAAAAAACTGTCAATATTTTCTTTTATGAGCAAAAAAATTATGCTGCTATGATGATGAAAAACCGCCAACAAAACATAAATAAATAAAATTTGAGGTTGGAAAACCCGGGGAGGCGCCTTTTCTACTGGGTCGTACCAGTCGATCATTCCCGCTCCCTGGAGAGCAACTCCCTCAATCAACTTTTTTTCGAGAATACCGTACCTGCCAACTGTCATAAAACCCCACCCACTTCTCTCGACTGTTCTACTCCCTAGCCGTCAAGAATAGATACACAGGAGAGAGCTCGGGTTTTCAAGCGATTATAGGTTGCGATGCCAACGCACGTAACGTAGGCCTGGCTAACACTGTGTTGAGTTGCGCTATTGAGTTGTTGCCCCTCTCTGAGTTAACGAGTTAACTAAAAAAGTAATCTAGACTTTTCCCTGTATCAGAACTGAGTCCAAAGAAAGTCGATGAATTATCTTGTAAAATCGATCTTAATTTTTTTGCAAAAAAGATTCAGTTTGGCAGTATGCCAGGAGCAAGTCGGTAGAAATTCTGCTGCGAGGCCCAGTCGGCGTTAGATTCAGCCCGACTCGCAAAGATCCTCAGCACAGGTAAATGACAAAACGATGTAGGAAGATGGCACCTGTACAGAAGGGAAATAGGAGACCCAGCCAGCATATCTTACTCCCGGTACTGAGAAGAACTGAGACAGATACGGCTCTCCATGCTCTGATGCAAAAAGCCGAACAAGGACAAGTTAAGGATGTGACACTGGCCCTCTTTTTCGACGTCGAGGGGGCTTTTGATAAGGCCAGAACAAGCAATATCTGCAAAGCTCTTAAATTAAAATGGACTCCAGGTTCAGTAATAGACTGGGCCCGGAGGGCGACAGTGAGTCGCTCGGCCAGTGCCTGCCTAGGGGGTGACCGGCTGGAGATCGAGGTGAGATGGGGGCTGTTCACAGGGCAGCTACTGTTGCCCCTACCTGTGGTGTCTGATTATGGACGAGCTCCTGATGCAGTTAAACCGAGAGGGTTAGTCCTCGTCAAGGTCAAGTCTACTGCTGCTGGGCAAGCAGCAGCTCCTGGAGATTGTGGCAGCTGCAGGGAAAGCGACGACGTGATGGAAGCAATGTCAGTCGGGGACAGCGTGGAGTCCCAAAAACTCCTGAAGGGTGAGCGATTTTATGCGAAGATGATGTATGTAATGAAGGCGCGGTCGGAGAGCATTCTGGCAGTTATGATGCAGTGTATGAGTATGAAGAGGGCGATAACGAGGGCGGACTTTAAGCTTGTGACAACTCAATTAACGGAGATAAACCGGGTACTTGCCAGCATAGCCAGGGGTAACTTTGGGGGGTTGTGTGTGTCGAAAGGACGGATGGTTGTGTGGAGATGTTTGAGAAGGTGTGTGGTGCGGTGGAGGGGTTGAAGGCGGAGGTGAAGGAGCTGAAGGAGCTGAAGGCTATGGTGTCGAAGACTGCGCAGAAACAGGCAGCGATCGTCAGTGAGCCTCGGCCGGGTAGGATTAGCTATGCGGCCAAGGTGATACGCCTGTGGCACTGGCGGTACCGGCGACTAAAGTAGCGCAGATACCTGTTTAGTCGGGGGACGAGAGTGCCCGGGGATTCACGTCTGGCGCGGAGGGAGATGCTGAGGAGGGCTTCACCGACGTCAGGCGGAAGAAGAAAAAATCGTATGCTATAGCGGTCAGGTCAGTTCTCGGGGGGTCAGTAAGCCAGCGATTAGGGAAGGCTGGAAGACGCTTCCACCAGTTGATGTGTGTGAGACATGAACGACATTGGAATACGTGAAGGAGTTGGTGACCAGGGACGACAGGTACCCGGTGCGTCTTCGTGAGAGGGAACAGCAGAAGACGGCACAATGACCGAGTGTGTGAGTTGAAAGGAAACGTGCAAGTTGTGTCAGAGGTATGCCGTGGAGAAGGGAGTGGATGTCGTGGTAGATACTGAGCCATATCCTCGGATGGCGAACTGGGACGGCTTCAGCATGTTCGGCAAAGGTAATGCAAGGGTGCTTGCCCGGAAGAAATCTCGACTGCGATTTCTGGGGTGTCTGGCGACAATACTGTCGGGGTTGTCGTCGAGACGAAAGGAAGCCAGAGTAGAATGAGTGTGGTAGGGGTGTATGACGAGCCTGGTGACAGCAGGTACGTCAGGCTCGATGGAGTGAGGCATAGGCTCAGGAGGCTGGGCTGGTTTGTGCTGGCCGGCGAGGCAGTTAAGGTTAAGCATGAGGCTTGGGGCGGTCGGAAGTGTGAGGTCAGGAGAACGGACCTACTGGAGTGGGCTGTGGGAAAAGGGTTTAAACTTGAAAACGAGAAGGGACCCCAACATTTCGGTCCACTAGGGGTCAGAGCTGAATTGATTTGACAATCACCTCCGGTGTTAAGGTTGTTGGCTGGAAGGTTGAGGACGAGGTGACGATTAATGACCACCGGTATATAAGATTTGCGCTAATGGAGGTGAGTGCAAGGCTTAAAACTCCGAGACGTCTGGAAGACTTCCAGAACACGAACAAAATCGGTGTTGAGCGGGCGTTGCTGGCAGTTCTGCCATGCTCGAGGCTGAGATTGAAAGGTTTCTGGAAGAGGTGCGCAGTGTGCGAAAGAGGTGTATCAGGAGGGTGTGAGTACTGAAGGATAGCACGAATGAATGGTGGGACAGGGAGCTGCAGATGCGAAGAAGGAGGGTCAAAGAAGATCGGGAGGGATGGCAGAGAGCAAGGAGTTCTATTTCGGAGGACATCCAGTTCGAGCAACTCAATGCGTACAGAACGGAGGAGGCATCTTCAAGCAACTGATCAAGGGAAAAAGTGGGTTGAAAGAGGTTGATAGCGTGTGCGAAGCTAAGCCATGGGACAATATGTGGAGGGCCATGAAAGGGAAGAGAGCCGCAAAGCAAACTCCCATAGTGGATGATAATAGGAAGCTGCTGGATGCTGGATGGCTGCATGTGGAAGGCCAGAAGTGGGATTCTTATTGGTAAGGAAGTACCATCCAGAGCTTAGTGTCAGTAAGAACAATGTGCTGGAAGGTTTGGATTAATATTGGGAGCGGTGGATGGATGGGTGTGATAAATTGGGATACGAGTTTAGTCAAGCGGTGGGGCGAATGATGAATAACAAGGCTGCAGGGGCAGATGGTATGTCGATGAGTTTTTCGAAGTTTGTGTGTCGGGTGAGAGAGAAGGATGCGAAAAACATGTATGGTAGTGTCTGAGAAGGGCGGCTACTCCACTGGTCTGGAAGTGCGCCAGGATTGTCTGGCTACCGAAGGGCTCCGGTGGGGTTCGGCCCATAAGCTTGATGCCAGTCTCTGAAAGAATCCTGGACAAAATTCTAAATAGGCAACGGCAGTGCGCTCTCGAGGCTGTGGCTGGCCTAGATGATCGGCAGTTCGGTTTCGGGAAGGGAGTTGGCACTGTGGATGCAGTGGCGAGATTAGTACAGGAAATTAAAAATGGTAGAACAGTGGGCAAACACCAGTTGTTAGATTTGCTGCATATCAGCAACGTCGTCAACATGGCGTGGGCCTTGTTGTGGTTCAGGAGCTTGAAAGGGCCGGGGTTGACAGTGGTTTGGTTAGAATGTGCTGGAGCTTTTTGCGGGGGAGAGTAGTCCAGAGTGGAAGGGTGAGGTGTCAGATTGGGAAAGGATCTCCGCAGGGATTTAGTCTAGGCTCCACTCTATGGCTTATGGTCATGGAGGGATGGTTCCGGTCAGTCGATAGGATAGAGAGAATGTATGTAGAGAGGAATGGAAGAGACGTGACAGGTATAAATGCAAGAGTGAAGATGCTGACGGCCCAGGCTTATACGGATGATCAGGTGGTACTGCTTAGAGCCGAGTCAGCAAAGAAGATTGAAATGATATTTCGGGTGGTCTGGGAGGAACTAAAAACATGGGCACAGCCGCGGAGTATAGCGCTGGAATGACGGAGGCGCTGTTTCTGCCTCCTTACCACTGGGTGGGAGCTTAGGGCGTCCCATCCACGATGGTGACGTATCTTGGCGTGGTGCTTGACGTCAACTTGCTCTTCCTGGAACATGCCAAGTGTGTGAGAGTGAGAGTGTGTACAGTGTGTGGGAAGATTCGAGGAATTATGAAGAGGAGAGGACTGGCGGCAAATAATGTGGTGTGAATGATTTACGAGAGTGGTGAAGAGTTCTTTTTTGTATGCGCCGGAAATATGGGGAAGGGGGGCAAGGTGTCCGACTCCCGAGTTAAGAAGCAGATGGAAGCATACCACAGGCTTCTACTTCTTGGAATGGGAAGGGCGTATTGGACGACCTCCACGGAGGCCGTGCAGGTCGTGTACGGATGCTGCAGGAGGAAAGACGATTCAGGAGAGAATACCGTTTGAAATG